GTATACATTACGGTGGCGCGATTTCGCACACTTAAGATCAGGCAAAATTTATCTGACCCTGCACTGACGGCTTCTCCAGAGTACAAACACTTGTTGTTTCCCTGGCGCAGTGAACTGACTAATTCAAGGATGATGGAAGTTGTCATCACGAAATTTCGTTGCCGCGTTACCTCCCTCAATTTTTACTTGCATATATCAGGCATATTGAGTTCCCCTATGTGCATTTACTGTAATCAAGAGGAAACGATCAGTCATTTTTTATTACATTGTCGCCGTTTCGATTTATTCAGGCAAAACATACTAGCACCACCTCTTCAAAGACTGGGCTTGCAACTATCACAACCTGATCTTCTTTCATTTGGAGCCTCAACACTGGGTTTCAGCCACAGGGATGTTTTATTCGCCGTTCAAGAATACATCACTGCGACTAAACGATTTTCTTGCTAAATTGCTGTCTCACTATTTTTCTTCTTTTTTTCTGCAAACTTAATATCGGTATTTCAAATCAAAATTAAGTTACAAAAAAAATTTGTAGGAATGACGCAATGCTTAAAGTTTAGGGCAAATTCACCTTATAATCGGCCAATCCCCTTCTTTGGGTACGAGCCATTTGCACAGGGAAACAAACAAACAAAACAAGCGCCGCTTAAGGACGGCGTCAAGGCCTCCTCGGTAGCTGTTCACCTGCCGCCACTGCCACCACCGTTCGGGGACGGCGTCAAGGCCTCCTCGGCGGCTGCAGTACACGCTACCGGTACCATTTCACAAGGGACGCCGTCCACGCGTCCTTGGCTATAGATTTTGCCGTCAGCGCAATGCGACAAGTGAACCCTCTGCAGAAAGCCACCGGTACATGTCTTCGAGGTTCGTCGGCAGCGCGAGCTTCTCCATCAAGGAACGCCGTTCACGCTTCCTTGGCGATAGGTTCTCACCGCCCGCTTCAGCCACCCTTCAGACCACCTGTGCACGGCGTCCTGGGGTTCTAGGATATGACCTGATTGAAACCCTGCCACGATTTCACTTCAGTGACCCGCACCGGCTCCTGTCCCTTGGGAATGCCGCTCACGCTTTCCATGGCCTACATTACCGTTGCGGTACTCTTTCAACAAACGAGCCGCCACGGAAAGCTGTCTAGGCTTCCCTGCTCGTTGACCTCACCGGGGTGAGTGCCGCAATTGCTACTTACTCAACGACCGCGACCACTAACTCTTCGGGCTTAACGCCCGACAGCACCGCGGACCTGCGGTGTACCATCGCGCTACTCCGCGTCGAGACTAGCGAACTAACAGCGTTGATCACCGAGCGAGCTCCTACAATGTTGCCAGCATTGTGTGCCATTCACGCAGTGTTGAATGTAGCTGCCTCATATGACCTTTAGGCAAGCACACCAGAGCAACGCAGGCAGCTTCGGTCTTCTCTGATCGAGCTCACACTGCAGCTCGACTGCTTCGCGTCGGTGATCTCTGCGTTGCCACCTGCCACCTCACAATCACCAGCCGTGTGCAAACTACCAGAATTTTACGGGGTCCGGAACGACGCCGACAGCTGGGTGGCAACCGTCAACGCGATAGCAATGCGCGAGGCCTGGGCGGAATCTCAGATATGGACCGTGGCTGTAGACCGTCTTCGGGAAGGTGCAGCGGCGTAGCACCGGTATGAAGGCTGGAAGCAGCAGTCATGGGCGGAGTGGAGCTGCAAGCTCATAGCTGCTTTCGGTCGTAATCCTTAACACCTCTCCACCACCACCCCGTCCAACCTAGGCGGTATCGAGGAGCAAGCTCCAGAGGCTTTCCACCTCGATGCTGCAGCTGTGCGCTGCAGCTTACCACAAGAGAAGTTCCCGAAGCAACTGCGGCCAGAGGCCGCTACCGAAGTCGGACATCTTGAAGGGCGTTGCTCCAACGAAAGAGCTGCAGAGAATCATCTCGACTGTGCTGCATTGCCCTTCCCCGACGCAACCCCATTCGCACACTGAGTTGAAGTGGAGCAACACCTCGAAGGTTCCTCGGAGCCCTCCAGCCGAGCGGCAGAAAGCTTCTCCGCCTGTCTTACAAATGACGTCAGACGCAGATGCGACACGCCACTGCTGCTCTCAGTACCCGCGCCGGTACGCGATGCCATCATGTCAGTGGAAGAGGCTGATACCAGTCCTCATACAGCTCAGTTAGAGAAGCCAGCCCAAATATCACCTTTACTGAGGCAAGTGGAGACACCAGCATCGCCTATGCTTGAACCGCGTACGGTGATGGCGCCGGTAGAAGCCAAGGTACCCAGCGCGTCTTTTGGGATACTCTTTCGGCTACCCTCGTCCGGAGTTCAACGTCTGCCGCTGATTTTGCGGCCCGTCCGAAGCGCGCTGTCAGGTGCATGTTTAGCTGCTTCCCACAGAGAGTCTCTGCATGGCCGAGACTGACCACAACGATCCAGCCAGTCTCGACCTCCCGAGAAACTTGTTGAAGACTCTGGCACCCAGTTTCAGCGTGGCCAAGGCCGACCTCCGAGATGCAGTCACTATATCGACCGCCAGATCTACATTTGGCAGATACCGGGACCAAATCGCGGCCGAGAGCGTCGGCCGCAACGGGGCAGCCAGTGCCGGCCGCCTGAGTCCACAGCACGTTTTCAGAAAACATCGTGGCGTGCAAAAGAGCGACCAACTCAAGGCAGCCAGTGCCGTCCACCAAAGACGCTTCCCCCAGACTGTCAATCTATGTTGCATTATGGTCCGGGCTGACCACCATGATGCAGCCAAGCCCACCCACCAGAAACTTTGCCGCCAGCTCCGCGCGCGCGCAGTCATGGCCAAGTGTCATGACCAAGAAAGACGCTGGTGGTTCGGCGCGTGGGCAGCTGAGGGAAGATAGAGGAAGAAGAACGCTGAATAAGAACAGCTGGCCCAGAATAGGGTGTTGTCCCTTGTTCTCTTTCTCGCTCATCACAATATATATATATATATATATATATATATATATATATATATATATATATATATATATATATATATATATATATATATATATATATATGCGGTAGAAAAACAGGTCGACAAACGTGCGAAAACACAAGTTTTACTAACGTTTCTGCAGGTGGGCCTGCCCTTTGTCAGAGTGAATGGTTACAGATCCCACACAAGGCACTTATATAAGCCGCTTCTTTGAGTATCACACGGCTAAGTCATTATCAGTAGATTGAGAAACACATTATATATCACCAAAGGCACGTGGCTATAGTGCATACACAAGTCAAAACGCGTATCATTGTACAATAGTGAGTTGGCACGTATTAAATACCCTACAACTTGTGTGCGATGAAACAGGTCTACAAAATAACAAACTGTGCACGCCGTCCCTCACTTGGCCACAAGTTCTGCGGGATAATAGCAGCCTAGGAACATTCAATGAGCTTTTAAAAAAGAAAAAGAAGGTTAGAGAGATAAAAACAAAATAAAAAAACAGGCAGAGTAAAATTAATGCGATTAAAGTGGTGAAGTGACAAAGGCCACCTACTATTTGTACGTAATAAGAAACAACAGGCTAACATCGCGCAAAGAATGTACACTAGCCAGAAAGACAAAACGATGATTTACTTAGGCAATATGCAAGTAAGCATACCCAGGCTCTCGTACATGCCGTCAGATAGTATTTTGAATTTATGAATTAGAAATGAATCTTTTACTTCGCGTACACAAGGGGGTGTTCACAATCACTGCAAGTCTACTCAAGGAAGTTTGACGAATAGTCAGCGTTGGTAAAACGGTTTCTCCAAACATGGACGTCATGTGGCTGTTGTGAACGGCGGGATGATATATATATATATATATATATATATATATATATATATATATATATATATATATATATATATATATAATGCTGCTTTTTTGGATACTGTCGTTGGCAATTCTAAACAATCGCACTGTATTCTTTTCAGTCTCCACCACAATTAAGCCCCGTTCCCGGTCCAAGTAGGGTGAGTGTTTCAACCTAAGCAAAACTATTGTCTATCTGATACTAGAGCAAACTGGAATCGCAACACTGCAGCAGACATTCACATTGATACCAATTTCCGCATTTCCCCCAGTATCTGAAGAATTACCTAAGACTACTTCAGTCCAGAAGAGTAATACGTTATTGAAAAATATTCGGTATGATCATGACGAGCGACGTAAAGAAGGTTTATAAAAATTTTAATCACATTACTCTTCTTAAGAGGCACGTATAACTAAGCTCATAGGTACACGTCTATCGAAACGCATGGGCCAGCCCAATGGCCACGAATCTATCCCTCGACTATCGAGTGACAAGTTGATTACTTTGAATGTCCTTGTGCCAACGTAGCTGAATTCACTGGAGCATTATTCAACCAAGATGAGATTATAGACATATTGGCCTTGTCATGGCTGTGTGCATGTTTTCTTTTTCTTTTATGCCACCTAAATGCAATAAATGTAAAAGGAGAAGCCCTCACAATGACTTCGTTATGGCTACTACTTTTCATTTCATTGTTACAAAAAAAACTAGAGGACAATCTACATATGTACGTAAATACAATGCTACCTCGGTGACTTCTAAACTTGTTCTTTGAACGGTATGAGAACATTTCAGGCTCTTATTTTTGTTCGATCAGCTACCACAAGTCACAAGTGTTCGTGTCTTAAAAAAAAAAAAAAAAAAACATGGAGCACTTTATCGCTTTGCGGCTCATTAGAGATGGCCATGGGCCTATAATTTCTCTAACGTAAACGTTTGCTCTAAGTCTAGTGTTGTGCAATACGTGTTCGCGTCGTTATATATCCATTTTACGTTGTTATGTGTGTTATTGCAACGTGCAAGTTCTTAATAAATGGGTGTCTAAAACATCGCCCCAGACACTAAAGAAAATATTAGGCCATTAGTACACCACACATTGTATACAATAAAAATAGCACACATAACGTGGACAGAATATGTAAAGTCCTTCACTGTCTCCTTGCGCTACCGAAGTCCTAACCTAACAGTCCCTCATCTTAACACGAACACAAGGAACGAGGCTGCTCTCACCACAGCTCGTAGGCTCTTCTCGAGCTGGATCACGTTGTCCGCATGGTAGATCACGCGGCTGCTTGAAGGGTGAACACCATCACCGTAGCCGCGTTCCGGCCGGACACCTCCGCTGAATCTCGTGCCCGTAGTCTGACAGCTCCGCGTTGCTCGCACGGCAGACAGGGCGGCTACTTGAAAGGTAGGCACTGCCACCGTAGCCGCGTCCCGGCTGGACACCTCCACTGGAACTCGTGCCTATAGATCGACAGCTCCGCGTTGCTTGCACAGGAGACCAGGCGGCTACTAGAAGGTGAGGCACCACCACCGTAGCCACGTCCCGGCCGGACACCGCCACTGCAACTCGTGTGCGTTGCCTGACAGCTCCGAGTTGCTCGCACGGTAGACAAGGCGGCTACTTGAAGGGTAGGCACCACCTCCGTAGCTGCGTCACAGCCGGACACCGCCGCTGAGTCTCGTGCCTGTGGCCCGACAGCTCCGCGTTGCTCGCACGGTAGACCTTGCAGCTACTTGAAGGGTATGCATCGTAACCATAGCTGCATCTCGGCCAGACACTTCCGCTGGATTTCGCGCCCGTAGCCCAACAGCTCCGCGTGTCCTCGGGCCCAGAATGCATTGAAGCCGCAGCACCTTAGCGACGCATGACCGTTGCAGGTAGTAGGCAGCAGGTAGCTCGGGCTCAGCTGTTACCAGGCTCGGGTCTGGATCCCAACGGCTGAGAAGCGAGCCCCGTCTTCCTCGTTTCTTCTGTCGCCCCGCCCCGCCATGGTGGTCTAGTGGCTAAGGTACTCGGCTGCTGACCCGCAGGGCGCGGGTTCGAATCCCGGCTGTGGCGGCTGCATTTCCGATGGAGGCGGACATGTTGTAGGCCCGTGTGCTCAGATTTGGGTGCACGTTATAGAACCCCAGGTGGTCTAAATTTCCGGAGCCCTCCACTACGGCGTCTCTCATAATCATATAGTGGTTTTGGGACGTTAAACCCCACATACCATCTTCTCTCGCCCCTTCACTGACGTGACGCAACGTAGTGGCAACACGAACTGAACAGCTTTTTCCTTGATACATGATCTTTTTATAGTGCGCCGAAACATGCATTGGGTTTGTTTATTTGTGTTTTGCTTTTTCGGCCTGGCTGAGCCGGCCTGTGCTATCACTGTTTTCACAGCGTTTCGAACAAACGCTATCACAGCGTTCTCTATACAATTCGACTATTAGAGAAACCCTCGCGCTGAGGGATATAAATTCCCGCACAGCCGATGCCGCGACATTCGATCGCCGACGCTCACTAGCGTGCACGTCGTTTTGCCGGCCGCTGCATCACCGCCTGTGTATTCTTTCAGTTGTTAGGGGAGCACAGGTTCGCTCCAATAAACTTGTCTTTCTTATAGACAACTCCGTCGTCCTTTGCTGCGTGACATCTGGTGGAGGTGCTGGGTACATGAACCCTAAGCCATTGCCAAGCCGACTAGCAAGCCCAACACGACAAGCACGCCCAACTGGTGTCAGCCGCCGACAGCAAGGCCTTCAGCCAGAGTTTGGACTGCTCCCGGATAGCAAGAGAAAAGAAGACGTAAAAACCACGATAATCAACGCAGGCAGCATGACCAGCGCTACCAACCCTCCCGTCGTTATGCAACAACCTTGTGAGCCCCCATCATTCCGAGGATCTCCTGTTGAAGACCCGGAAGAGTGGCTGGAGAACTTGGATCGCTTCCGCATCTTTAACAGGTGGGATTACGAAATAAAAAAAATTACGGCATAATCACGGGGTGAATGATGATGAATGGGCGAAGCTCCGGAGGGATTCATCGGTAAACTGTGAATCTTCCGTGTAATTCGCCCAGTCGATCATCATGTAAAGACGTGAGAAACGCTGTGTGTGTATATACACAAATCAACTTTTATTTGTTCTTAGACATTGGATGGCTTGCGATGTCCCTTGCCTCGCGCGCTCGCACATCGGGATTCTGTCTGCGAGCGCGCGCTGCTGCCGCCTTGCGCTCTCTCCGCTGTGCAGCCTTATCCATCCGGCGACTCCGAGCGCGCGCCAACAGCGAACGGATTTTATTACAACGCTCCCCCTAGCGTACGTCGCCACACTAAATCGAACGATTGCCTTACACCAATGACACGCGCCATATGTGACATCATTCCTATTTTATAAGATCTCGCGTCTTTCATCAACTACAAGTACCGCTTTCTAGTTTATAACATCTTGCATCTTTTCATCATCAGCTACAAGTACCACCATCTAGTAAACACTACAAGAACTAAACGAGAGGTGGCTACATACAGGAGACGGTTCCGCCATCTAGTGAACACTGCAAGAACTAAACTAGAGGTGGCTACATACAGGGGATGGTACCGCCATCTAGTGAACACAGCAAGAACTAAACTAGAGGTGGCTACATACAGGCTACAGGGGACGCACAGCCCACTCCCTAAGGAGCTTCGCCCCTAAAAACGTTTCGTCATGTTTTCTTCTATTTGGAGGATGCAGCTCGAACGTGGTTTGAGAACCATGAAGGCTCCCTAACCAACTGGACTGTCTTTAGGAGCGAATTCCTCAACACATTCACTACGGTTGTGCGGTAAGAACGAGCCGCCCTTTTGTTGGAGACGCAAATGCAACACCCTAACGAAGGTGTTGTACTGTTCGCTGAGGAGATGAAGATGCTGTTCCGGAGAGCTGACCCCGAAATGGCAGAAGAGAAGAAGGTGCGCTTTCTGATGCGGGGAGTTAAACAAGAGCTCTTCGCTGGACTCATCCGCAACCCCCCTAAGACCGTCGCTGAGTTCGTTACCGAGGCTTCGATTATCGAGAGGACCTTGAATATACGTTTGCGGCAATACAATAGACCACTCAACACCCTTTTGGTGAACCCGGTAAACGCCCCTGGATTGGCGACGGAAGACATGCGGGAGACCATCCGCGCCGTCGTTCGCGAGGAACTGAGGAAACTGTTCTCAGCAACGCCGCCGCCCAAGGTCGCCTCCCTTACTGACGTCGTCCGCGAGGAACTGAGGAAATTGTTCCCAGCAACGCCGCAGCCCAAGGTCGCCTCCCTCACTGACGTCGTCCGCGAGGAGGTTCAGCAAGCACTGGGGAATTCTACGCCGTCGGAAGCATCTTACGAACCACAAGCGATGACCTACTCCGCTGCTGCTCGTCGACCCCGACCCGTCCCAATCCGTTATCAAGAGGCCCCGCCGTACGCCGCCCAATGTCGCCCGCCCGACCCCCTGTAACCCGAAACCAGGCGCCCAGGAAGACCGAGGTGTGGCGAACGCCAGATAATCGTCCGCTGTGCTACCACTGCGGAGAGGCGGACCACGTCTACCCCCGCTGCCCGTACAAGAGGCTGGGTTTGCGTGGGTTCTCCGTCGACGCACCCCGCCCGAGAGCCGGCCAGCGCCCATATGAGATCGAAGAATACCTGTCGAACACCAGCCGTGGACCAACCCGTTTCAACCGTTCGCCGTCGCCCTACCCGTACCAATCCCGCAACCATCGCAGCAATGCTGACTTTGCCCGTGGAAGTTCCCCAGCCCACGAGGGGGAAACTAAAAGCAGCAAATTCTGGATGTAAAGTTGCACAACGGCGAGAAAATGAAAACCCTCTAACGACGCAAGACCGTGATTCACGACATGCCCTCATCCCGACGACCCGACGACACCCTGACGAGACCCCCGAAAACGACGACAGCTACGCTGCGCGACGCGTACCCGAAAAAATGAAGCCTGCCGCTGAGAAGACGACAATGACGACGCATAGTGCCCGACCATCAACACGCGCAAACCGCGATACGACGCCCCAACGCATCCGAAATTCGAGGAAAGCGGCATCCGAGGTCCAGTTGTCCATCGACGGCCTTGACGTAGTCGCCCTCATTGACACGGGAGCCGACTACTCGGTCATGAGCGGGTCATTCGCGTCCAAGCTAAAGAAAGTTACGACGAGATGGGACGGTCCGCACATACGCACAGCAGGAGGCCACCTCGTGACCCCAAGTGGAATGTGCACATCGCGCGTCACCATAGACGGCACTACGTACCCTTCGGAGTTCGTCATTTTGCCTAACTGCTCCCACAATGTAATTCTCAGAATGGACTTTTTGACGGACAATGGCGCAATAATTGATCTGCAGACCAGGTCGATAACGTTTTCTTCCTATCACTTCACGACGCCGCAGCCGAACCTCGGACACCGTGCTGCTGTAAGGATCGCCGACGATCACGTCACCCTGCCACCCCGCGCAAGCTTGATGATCGCCGTCTATTGTGAAGGTGCTGCTCCTGACGTCAACGCTATCGTGGAGACTGACCAAAGGTTGCTTCTAGACCGCGGTGTGTCTGTCGCAAGAGGCATTGAGCGGTTTAATCAACGCAGATCCCACGTTTTGGTCACCAATTTCACTGAGGAGTACCAGCATCTAAACAAGGGCGCTGCAATTCCGTTCCTCGAAGAAACGCAAGAAGCAATTCAAGTGATCGCGGTCGCCACCTTTGAACGCGCACGCGCAGATGCTTCCAGGCTGCCACATCCTTTCGACGTGAACCCGACACTGTCGCTAGAAAATCGGGACAGATTACTGGAGTTGCTCCGTCGCTACAGCGAGTGTTTTTCCTCAAACACGAAGTTACGTCAGACACCTTTGGCGAAGCACCGGATAATAACCGAAAATGCAGCCCGACCTACCAGACAGTCACCGTACCGCGTTTCTTCACACGAGCGCAAAGCCATCCGGACTCAAGTAGATGACATGCTCAGCGACGACATAATACAGCCATCGAAAAGTCCGTGGGCTGCGCCGGTTGTACTCGTGAAAAAAAAAGATGGCACTTTAAGATTCTGCGTTGACTACCGGAGACTAAACAAAATTACCAAAAAGGACGTGTACCCCCTGCCGCGAATCGACGACGCCCTCGACCTCCTCTGCCACGCCAAGTACTTCTCATCCATGGACCGGCTACTGGCAAATTGAAGTGGACGAGAGAGACCGAGCGAAGACTGCATTTATAACCCCGGACGGTCTGTACGAGTTCAAGGTGATGCCGTTTGGGCTGTGCACGGCGCCCGCAACGTTTCAGAGAGTCAAAGACACTGTGCTAGCAGGCCTGAAAAGGCACACTTGCCTCGTATACCTCGACGACGTTGTCGTATTCGCCCGTACTTTCGACGAACACCTCTCAAGGTTGGAATCTGTACTCGAGGCCATTCATACGTCGGGGTAAC